TTTTGCAGTTTTCAAGATGAGTGTTATTTGAGACTGGAATTGCACAGGAAATGCAAGAAAAACTTAATTATTTTGGTGAAATATTATCAAGTATGTAGGAGTTATAGAGTGTATAAAAACAGAGGTGTTTTTTTTTTAATATATATATATATATATATATACAGAGTATATATATATAGATACTTTTACAATATTTTCTTGTCAAAGGCAGTGTAGAGTGACAGTTCCTGGTGAGTGGAGGGAACAACATTATCCACCACCAAGTACAGTAGTGGAGCCAAGGGGTGGCCTCCTCCTGCAGAGTGTCCTATTTATGTTCTATTTTGTATAAGCTTCGCCCTTTAAGGCTTTCGCTGATGGGTTTATCCCGTTATGCGAAGCATTACACTGAAAAATTTAGTCCACGCCCGCCTGCTGTGTGGGCCCCACCCGGTCCGTATAAATTATGTTAAGAGCTGGTATTCGGCTCCCATTTTTCTTCAGCGAGCTAATAGCACTGTTAGAAGAACGAAGAAGGAAAGCTGTGTAGATGACCAACCTTTGCTAAGAATGCTTGGCCCGTCACGTCGACCTCCGGTCGTCCCGGTGAGCTCTCCTCCCCGAGGAGAAGCTGACGAGCAGTCTTGTTTCAAGGTAAGCACCGAGGAGTATTTCTCAGTGACAGGTCGCTACATGCTGGACAACGCCATCTTGTAATTTTCCTCTTATCGCCGACCCTCGGAGCGAATTGGATGGTTCCTCCGGGACAGGCAGCGTCAGCAGCAGCCCCCTGCGGCTCATTCCCTCCTGGAGAGCGTAGTGTTGGTGGAGGGGGGCTGAGCGAATGCTCACCTCATCCCACCTCATTTCGCATCGGCGATCACACCACTCCCGGCTGACGGCACCCTCTGGGGTTGCCCGTGTAAACGCGCGGCCCCACGGCATCATCAGCTGCCACATGCTTCCCCTCAACAAGATCCGAATGTAGCACACAGGCGCGTTCAGAGCCCTTTCGAGGAAGCCTCGCCTTCGGTCACGCGGAAAACATCCCCGCGACACATGACGGTGGTCGAGGCGGCGGACTGGATGACATCCGTACACAACATGACGCATCACTTAAACGCGCGTCCACTCCACTAACGTTACGCGGAGTGGCTAAAAACATGCTCGCCAGACAGATGGATGGCCAGGGTGTTAAGCAAGGGTTACACGTTGTAATTTGCAACCCGACCCCCTCCGTTCGGAGGAATTTTAGAGACGGTCCTGTCATCATCAGACCAAAGCTCATCCCTAAATGCAGAAGTCCAGGAACTTCTGATAAAAGATGTAATCTCCAGAGTTCCCAATGGAGAGGAAAACACAGGGTTTTACTCATGTTACTTCCTGGTTCCCAAATGGACCGGAGGAACGAGACCCATTTTGGACCTGTCAGTTTTCAACAAGGCGATCATGGACAGACCGTTTCACATGTTGACAACCAGACAGCTGTTGGACAACATCCAGAGAAATGATTGGTTTGTTTTCATCAACCTAAAAGATGCTTATTTTCACATACCGATCATCCCAAAACACAGAAAATTCCTGCGTTTCACTCCTTTCAAGGGGTGAAGTATCAGTACAACAGGCTGCCGTTCGGGTATTCCCTCGCGCCTCGTACGTTCTAAAAGTGTGTGGAGACGGCCCTGCAGCCGTTGCACAGGGCAGGGATGAGAGTTGTTTTACCTGGATGACCTGTTGCTGCTGTCACGCTCCAGACAGGAAGCAGTGGGACAGGTCTAGGCGCTGATATCACACCTGTTAAATCTGGACTTCGCCATAAATTGGAAGAAAAGCTTGATTCTCCCGGCCCAGACGATTGTTTATCTGGGATTGGAGCTAAACTCAACCAGCAAGAGGGCTCGTTTATCACAAACGAGAATCGACACTCTGAAAGACCAGCTCGGCCACGTAAGACCTGGCAGAGTAGTAACAGCTGTTTCCATCATGAAGCTGTTAGGAATTTAGGAATGATGTCATCAGCTCACACAGTTGTCCCGCTGGGTTTATTACACATGAGACGCCTCCAGAGATGGTCTGCACGTCTGCGTGTGGACCCAGTAAAACAAAAGAGGCAGATGATCATTGTCCCTTCCTCCGTGAGAGTAGACCTCCGACACTGGGGAAACACACTGGCTCTGTCGGAGGGAGTCCCCGTCAGCAGACCCACATCACACATGTCAGTCTTCACAGACGCATCGCTGTCAGGTTGGGGGGCGACATGCCTATCTCAAGCTATAGGGGCGCTATGGCCCCATCACACATCAGCCCACATAAATGTTGTGGAGTGTCGCACGGTGCTGAACGTGATTCAACACTTTGCTCCTGTGCTGCAGAATCAACACGTTTTGATTCACACAGACAACAAGGTTACTGCTGCGTACATAAACTGGCAGGGGTGTGTGCGCTCAGCCCAGATGTTACACATTGCGACAAAAACTACTGCGATGGGCACACCAAAATCTGCTCCCAATCAGAGCAGTGTACAGTTCCGGGGTTCTGAACAAAGGGGCAGATGTCATGTCAAGGGGCGGCCCATGTCACAGGGACTCTCCATCCAGACCTGAGGGCCCAGATGTGGCAGAAATTTGGCAAAGCAGCTGTGGACCTGTTTGCGACATGAGAAAACGCTCAGTGTCAACTACGGTTTTCTCAGAGCCCGTGAGATGAACCACCGCTGGGGGTGGACGCGTTGTCCACAGCCCATGGCCCAAAACGCTTCTTTACGCGTTTCCTGCACCTCCTTTGATTTTACGGTTCTTGAAATGAGTTCAGGAGGAGGGATTGACAGCTTTCCTGTTGGCCCCCAAGCGCGTGGACGCACCATGGTTCCCAGTCCTGCGATGCCTGCTATTGGGGCGCCCGTGGAAACTGCCGTGGAGAGAGGACGCTCTCCTTTAGGCAGGTGGATCGATCAGGAGTTACCCAGAAATAGGCCAGCACCTGTGGGTATGGCCGCTGAGCGGACCCACTTAGAAGGGATGGGTCTCCCACAGGATGTAATGCGTACAATTCAGGATTCACGTGCTACATCTACCACAGCACTGTACACATCAAAGTGAGCAGTTTTTCAGCGCTGGTGTACAGAGAAAGGTGTAGAGGCCACCTTCATGTCCACTAGGCGACGTGCTGTCCTTTCTGAAACAGCTGATGGACAGAAATTTAGCGTCTGGCACGATTAATGTATGCTACAGCCATCTCTGCCTGCCACGAAGGGTTCGGAGACAGAACAGCTTTTAATCATCCGCTGATGAAGTGTTTTCTAAAAGGTGTACAAAGACACAGGCCTGTTTCACACCCACTTGCTCCACAGTGGGTTTTAACGCTGGTTCTGCAAGCCCTGATTAAAGCTCCATTTGAGCCTCTGGATCAGGTTCCACTTAAATTCTTGTCTCTTAAAACAGCCCTGTTGCTGGCTTTAATATCCGCTAAGAGGGTGAGTGATTATCTGCCTTCTCTGTCGCTCCGTCATGTCTCAGAATTCAGGCTGACGGCAGCTCAGCTGATATAAGACCAAATCCAGCTTTATGCCTAAAACATCACGAGCTCTTTTAAATCAAGAGTGCTATCGTTGGAGGGGTTTTCCCTTCCCCCCACAAATCAGAAGAAGAAGCGTTGTTCCATCTTCTCTGTCCGATGCGGGCGTTGACGTGTCACATAGCACGCACAGCTGCAATGTGTCAAATTCAACATTTGTTGTGCCTTATAGAGATGCATCTGTAGGTTGCCCGTTATCCACCCAGCGCTTGTCACACTGGCTGTGTGAGGCCTTTTTTTTTCTTTTTCTGAAGCCTACAGAGCATCAGATTTAGAGCCTCCTGTCAACCTCAGGGCACACTCGATCAGGGGTGTTGCATCTTCGACTACTTTGCATAATGGTATGACAATGCAGGATATTTGCACTGCGGCCACGTGGTCAACACCCTGCTTATTTATTCACTTTTATCTACTGTACGTGATGTGACGGCCCGTTCCATGACACATTCTGTCCTTAGTGTTTTACAGAATGAATATTGTTGTTTCATGGAACTCCGTTTAACTCACATCTGTCTGCATGCATTACAGTGTGAGACGTTGTTATCAGCCACAAGCTATGATTGTTATTTTGGTTCTATTGTCACTAATCAGTTCATGACTATTGTTACCAATCAGTTCATTTCAGTTTTCCTGTTATTATTAATCTGTTCGTACTGTTCAGCCGTAACCAGTTGGTTCATGGCTCTTTTCAGCATATTTTCCCTCCTCGTAAAAAAATTTCCGGGGCGTTCATGCATTCAGAACACATAAATACACAACATACGTCTGTGCATGGCACACATAATTACGCAATGTGTAATTACGTACATGGGGAGCTGAGTGACAAGACGTTTTTTGGGCAAGCTTCTGCTTCATACGGTGTTCGAATGGAGCCAGAGAGGCGAGGACCACATCTGCTTCGCAGATATGGGTGGATATGGGTGATATGTGGATGGGGCCCACACAGCAGGTGGGCGTGGACTAAATGTTTCAGTGTAATGCTTCGCATAACGGGATAAACCCATCAGCGACAGCCTTAAAGGGCTACGCTTATACTCATAGAATCTGGGGTTACAGTACGTAACCAACGCTCTGCAACAAAGTGGGCATGGCCCAGTGCGCTGAGGCAGGGAGCTCAGATCATGACATTATGTGCTTTTTAGAGTGTTTAGAGTTTAGAAACATTGTTTAGAAGAATATTGCAAGAGTGTGGAAATGTTTAAAAACACACACACACACACACAGACATACACACACACATATTATATATATATATATATATATATATATATATATATATATATATATATGTGTGTGTGTGTTCACACAGCTGTTCCCTCCTAAAACAGCACACGTTTTTTTTTTCTCCAATATTCTGTTTTTGGCTCCCATTTGTGCCTGCACCTGCACCTGTGTGGTTAAAACCGAATTAATTAGGAAGAACTCCTCTGTGTTGTTGTTGTTCACAGGGAATTTTAGGCTCCGGCTTTGCCCTGAAGGTGCAGCAGAAGCAAAGGCAAAAACACTTCAACAGACAGATCCCTGCAGCTGCCTGTCTCATACAGGTATTTGGAAAAAACACTCAAAATCAAAATAGCTGGAGGGTTGAATGGTCTCAGAGACCCACTTTTATTATTGAAACCATCTTTTCATGCATTTCATCTCTTTTCTTAAAAAAATGTTCTGGAACAAAGTGTGTCCACTCCAACCAATATATACAGTATATACCGGTATTTTATTTTCATGCCTCTCCAGACATCATGGAGATGTTTTGCTGTGGAGAACTTTGATTCTGCCACGTTCAAGCTGTTCTTAAGAAAGAAATGCCATCTTCCTGCCTCATCTCTGTCCAGCCCTAAGCTCAAAAAATCGGTGGGTAAAAAAGTTATTTTTACTGCTTGTATTTTTTTTTTTACTAATCTTTATGCTTTATACTTGTGATTGTTCAAGCATGTGTGTGTATTCAGTATCTTTTTTTAAACTATTCTTGTATTTATTGATTTCATGATTTAGCTGCGCTTCTAGATTAAAAAAAATGTTACTCTTACACTGCTCTACTATTCTGAACAGCAAGAACAAGATCATTTTTTACCTGACTTAAGGGACTAAATTATAAATGATTAAAAAGATACAAAAACAAAAAAAAAATTAAGAATTTCATTGACATCTGTTTTCTACAACGGAGTATTAGGCCTCGCTAAGGAAAAAAAATTACAATACGAGAAAAAAGTCATAAAATTATGAGAATAAAGTTGTAATATTATGAGAATAATGCCGTACGGGAATAAAGTTGAAATATTACTAGAATAAAGTTGTAATATTATAAGAATAATCATAATACGTCCTTGGTCAGCTCACACCTGCTGTGGACAGCCTCCAATAGGAGTCACTTTGTTTGTGAAGTAGTCTGCGATCACTTTTGGGTCACCATTAGTAAACTATGCCTCCATCCACATTATGACACGACTAAATCCATCAATGCAGCCGTTAATTGTAATGCCATATGGCTTCAGTTTATCATAAGGATCCTTAAGCCACAGTGCATTGGGCACCCTGCTCTTGTGCTGCTGACATCAACATTCATCATTTTACTGCAGTTCAAAGACTGACTCTTTGTGACTGAGTTCTGATAATTTTACAACATTATGCTGTTAGCGTTACAAGTTCATTCTAGTAATATTACGAGTTCCATCCATCCATCCATTTTCTTTACCCGCTTATTCCATTTTGGGTCACGGGGGTCGCTGGTGCCCATGTCCAGCAATCACTGTGCGAGGGGCGGGGTACACCCTGGACGGGTCGCAAGTCCATCACAGGGCCACATAGAGACAAACGAGACAAACAACCATTCACTCTCTCACTCACACCTAGGGACAATTTAGAGTTACCAATCAGCCTAACATGCATGTTTTTGGACTGTGGGAGGAAACCGGAGTACCCGGAGAAAACCCACGCATGCACGGAGAGAACATGCAAACTCCACCCAGAAAGGCCCCTGGACCGGGGTTTGAACCAGGGACCTGCTCGCTGAGAGGCAGCAGCTCTACCAGTTGCGCCACCGTGCTGCCATATTACGAGTTTATTCTCATAATATTATGACTTTATTCTTGTATTATTTTGACTTTATTCTTGTAATGTTACGACTTTACTGTTGTAGGACTTTACTGTCGTTATACTATAACTTTATTCTTGTAATACTTCAACTTTATTCTGGAAATATTACAAGTTCATTATCTTGATATGACTTTATTCTCGTATTGCTTCTACTTTATTCTCGTTATACTATGACTTTATACTTGTAATATTTCAACTTTTTTCTTGAAATATTATGACTTTACTGTTGTATGACTTTATTCCGTTAATACTATGACTTTATTCTCATATTATTTTGACTTTATTCTCGTAATATTATGACTTTATTCTGGTAATACTACGAGTTTATTCTCATAATATTATGAGTTTATTCTTGTATTGTTTCTACTTTATTCTTGTAATACTACAACTTTATTCTCAGATTATTTTGACTTTATTCTCGTAATATTACAACTTTATTGTTGTATGACTTTTTTCTCCTAATACTATGACTTTATTCTTGTATTATTATGACTTTATTCTCTTAATATTATGACTTGATTGTCATACAACTTTATTCTTCTAGCACTTTAACTTTATTCTCATATTATTTTGATTAAATTCTTTTACTATTATGACTTAACTGTTTTACGACTTTATTCTCAGAATACTATAACTTTATTCTCATATTATTTTGACTTTATTTTAATATTGCAACTTTACTGTTATATGACTTTATTTTCATATTACTAAGACTTTATTATCATGTTATTTTGACTTTATTCTCATAATTTTTGTACTTTATTCTCATAATACAATGACTTTATTCTAATTTTATTTTGACTTTATTCTCGTAAATTACAACTTTATTTTCATGCTTTATTCTCAAAATAATATGACTTTATTCTCATATTGTTTTGACTTTATTCACATAATATTACGACTTTATTGCCGTACGACTTTATTCTTGCAATACTATGACTTTATTTTCGTTCATAATCTTTTTTTTTTTTTTCCTTAGCGTGGCCCTAAAGCTCCATCGTAGTTTTCAATGGGACCATTTATTTTTAATATCTAAAAACTTATGGGATTTTAAAATGGATAAAAATATTCTGGTTACAAAACAAATATAATTTACAGTCTTTTTTTTATTTATTTTCTATTCAAGTATCACACCAAGCATTCAATGAAAAGAGTTTTCTCCAGTCAGCTGGTGCCACAGTTTAAGTCTCAGTGCAAAGGCGTGTCAAATGTAGAAGCACAGCCACATAAAATGGTTTTGACTGTCCTGATGCTGTGACAGTTCTTCAGCGTTTAGACCATCAATATTATTAGAGTTTCATGCAATGGTTACAAAACTGGGACACTTTCTGAATGACACTTTTATTTGAATCTTTTGATATTTAGCTTCTTTAATTTTGCCACAAAGCTTTTTGTTCCCACTCATAAGGATGACAAACTTATTTAAACACACAGGTCAGCAATTTTTTATTTTTTTTCCTCATTTTGCAACTACTTTGCCTCATTAAGTGAATCACAGCAGAACAATAGCATTAGCTGTATTTGGACCAGTGGGTTGTTGAGTAGTATTTTATGCGTTGGTTGTTTCTCATAGTTGTCATTAGTCCCCATCGGAGTCATGGTGCCATATGAGCTATATAATTGGTCTACGTTTTGTTGGTAGACATGTGTCAAAATAACACTCGTAAAAACTAAGATGCAATTTTTGTTGTTTCGAGCAGTGTTACCTCGTCATGTGTCCGAAGTCAGATTGTTGTGGCACACCTGAGACCGTTGGCACCACCATATAAACAGTGACTATTTTCCAAGGTCACTTTATAAAGAGTAGTTTGCTATTGGAAGAAATATGTCACTTTAGCACAAATAACATGACAAAATAATAGATTTGTGGCAAAGGATAGTTTTTTTTTCTTCTGCTGTGTCATTCGAATGTCATGCAGGCACTTTCTTTCTCTGCAGTTACGTTTGCTTTTGTTGTGCAGGTGAAGATGAGGAGGAAATTGAAGAGTACTGACAAGGACAATGGTCCAACTTCTCCCACAGTACCCAGCATCACCTGCGACTCTGTGTTCGACAGCGGGAGGGAGTTAAGTTCAGATGTTAACAGCACTGTTGGCACAGGTACTAGAAAAGGACAAGTCGTACTGCAGGCTCGTGTTTAGTTGATACAATGCTGTTATCAGTGATACAGTGAATGGGTGTTACAAGTCAAATGACTATGTCTTTAATATTTGGTGCTTTTATAAAGTCAATTAAACAATTATGTCAATCAAATTGCTCTAAGGAAAGGCAACAATATTAATAGTAATAGTAAAATAATAATTAACCAGAACTTACTTCTCTGGCTGAAAATCAAATATTTATTGGTATTACTCCCATTAGAATAGGACTTAATGTTTAGATTTTAAAAATGTGTTGATGAGAGAATGGAAGGGGGGGGGGGGGGGGGGAAAAAAAATTTTTCAAATAAATAAGCATGCTGGAGAAAAAAAGAGAAAAAATAAATTACTCTGAGGACATGAATGTTCATGTTCAGTAATCCAGGTAGAAAATCCAACAAAATTCATCTGGATGGTTTCTTTCTTTCTTTTTTTTTTTTTGTTGTTCAGTCGTTTCATCCTTCATCCAAAGGACTTCATCAATCCAAGGTGCAACAACAAACTCATTCCCACAAGAAGCCTACTGACATGGTGGATGAACCAGTTTGCTGGTGAATAGATGGTTTCTGGTGATAATATAGTGATTAAAAAAAAGATAAGGTGATAAACTGGTTTCTGACAACTTTGTTGGATTTTCTACCTGGATTATTGCGCATGAACTTGGATGCTTTGAACCGCTTTGGCTATGGATGCCTCAGAGGAGTCGACGGGGGAGAAGGCAGGCCCCAGAAACCATCTTATCACCAGCAAACTGGTTGGTCCATGTGAGTGTGCTGCTGGTGGGACTGAGTTTGTTGTGGCTCCTTGGACTGATGAAGTACTTTGGATGAAGGACAACTTCTCAAAAAAAAAAAAAAAAGAAACCATCCAGAGGACCTGACTGTATTTTGTTGTACTCTGAGGACAGTGAAACATTGTTGTGTCTGTTTAATTTAAAAAGTTTCACCCAACACTCAGCACTGCTAAATCAGTATAATAAAGTCAGAAGCAATCTAACAAAATAGTTGATGTTAACGTCCATCAAATCATTCCACCTGCTTTGTGCTCGTTCTGCACCTGTAGGAAAATTGTTCATTCTTTTAAAAAAGTGACTGAAACAGAATATATATATACAAA